AGAATTGAAAGAGATAGACACAAAAAATATTCCAAGAGATTGCCGACTGTGTAAAATTTGTAATGAATTAGATTTCTTTCTTACTGTCAACAAAACCATTTGCTCAGAAATCAAATATTTTCTGAAATCAATAGTATAAACACTGGTTTTAGCTCACCTGAGCCGAAGGCTCAAGTGAGCTTTTCTGATCAAAAAGTGTCGGTGTCCCTCTGTCGTCTGTAAACTTTTCACATTTTTGACTTCTTCTCAAGAACCACTGGACCATTTTCAACCACACTTGCCACATCCTTGGGTAAAAAGGATTTAAGTTTGTTCACAGGAAGCGCCACGCTCTTTTTCAAGGGGAGATAATTAAGAATCAGTGAAAAATTAGTGGCATTTTAAATAAATCTTTTTCTCAAGAACCACAGGGCCAATTTCAACCAAACTTGCCATAAAACATTCTTTGGTAAAAGGGATGTAATTTTTTTTTTACAGGAAGTGCCACACTCTCCTTCAAGGGGAGAAAATTAAAAATCCGTGAAAATTTTGTGGCTTTTTAAAAAAATCTTCTTTTCAAGAACTACTGGGCAAGAAAAGATGAAACTTACGTGAAAGCCTTATTACATTGAGCACAGAAACAACAAGGGGCCAAAGTTTTACATAGGAATATAAAGGAAATATCTTTTAAAAATTTCTTCTCAAGAACAGCTAGGCCATTATTCGTCATATTAATAAAGAAGTATCATCAGGTAGTGTAGATACAAGTTTGTTCAAATCATGACCCCCGGGGGTAGGGCGACGCCACAATAGTGGGTCAAGGTTTTACGTAGGAATATATATCTTTAAAATCTTCTTCTCGAGAACTAAGTCATTATTAGTCATATTCATACAAAAGCAATCTTAAGTATTGTTAAATCAAGTGTGTTCAAATTATGACCCCTAGGGGTGTCAGAGTTATATGTAGCTCAAACCTATCAGAGGAGTTTAATTTGAAGACTGGAGTAAAACAGGGATACCTGTTCTCCCCTCTTTTCTTCACATTCTGCATTGACTGGATCATGCGAGAAACTACCAAGAATAAGCGGACGGAAATCAGTTTGGCTCTGTCAGAAATGATTGAAGACCTAGATTTTACAGATGATATAGCACTGCTAGCTCACCGACATCGTGATATGCAAGAAAAAACAACCAGCTTGCAAAAACAGCAGGAAATATTGGTCTAAAAATTAATAACATCAAAACTAAAATCATGAAGGTCAACACTAAATCAGACGAACCCATAACCCTAAAAATGGTATAAAAATTGAAGATGTCACAGACTTTGTCTACCTAGGAAGTAAGATCACCATAGATGGGAACTCCGAGGTAGATGTACTAGCTCGGATTTCTAAAGCCACAGGAGCGTATGTTGCACTGCAAAACATCTGGAGGTCAGCAAAGATCAGCATAAATACCAAAATCAAGATTTTCAAGAGTAATGTGTTTGGGTCCTCCTGTATGGTTCTGAATCATGGAAGTAACAAAAGCCATTTCAAACAAGCTAGATGCCTTCCAGACCCGTTGCATTCGCAGAATACTAGTATTACGCATTGTTATACCTTTAAAAATTTGTTCCTATATAAATCAATACTAATAAAAGTCTAACATTTCCAATGTTTTACTGAGCGGTCATAAAAAAAATCTATGTTTGACCGCGGAGTGAGATATTGGACCTGTCGATGAGATGTTGGACCGCTTACGTCATATAATGGGCGGTGTCAGCTAAATCTCATTTGCATTCTTTGGTAGTCGACATACATGTATGTCAAAAATAAAATAAAATAAATAAATAAAAGGTATAACAAAACATTTATTGACTGTGTTTTCGGGCAAAATGCGTTTTGTCGACCCCAAGAACCAAACTGTTTGCCTGAGGCCATTAGGCCGAAGGTAAACAGTTTGGTTCTTGGGTCCGACAAAACGCATGTTGCCCTCGAATCCAGTCAATACATGTATATTATTTGCCTTAATATCATCTCAAATAAAGAGCTATACAAAAGGACTAACACCATTCCTCTATCCCAAAGATAAGCTGTGGATAGGAACATATGCAGAATGCACCCAACCTCCATCCCAAGCGTTGCATTGAGATGGACACCAGCCGGTAAGAGAAAGAGAGGAAAACCAAAAGAGACCAGGAGATGATCGGTGGAGAAAGAAATAAAAGAGAACCACTGTACATTGGGACAGGTCCAGAGATTGACACAAGACAGACCAGCTGGAAGTCTCCGGTGACAACCTTATGTGCTGGCCAGCATGAAGAGAACTAAGTAAGTAGGGGATTGAAGGGGGAGGGGGCACAACAGATGGTCAGAGTTTTACGTAAGAATATGAAGGAATCATCTTGAAAAATCTGCTCAAGAACAGCAAAGCCATGATTAGTCATATTATTATAGAAGCATCCTCAGGTAGTGTAGATTCAAGTTTGTTCAAATTTGGGGTGGGGCCACAATCAGAGTTTTACCTAGGAAATTTTTTTTAAAATTCTTCTGCTGAAAATCAGCAGTCATGATTAGTAATATTGATATGGAAGCATCCTGAGGTAGTGTAAATTTAAGTTTGTCCCCCTCCCCGTAAACTTTTCAATACCGATTCCTGTTTTTTTCCTAGCCAATGTGCGCAGGTGAGCGATGCGGTCCATGAGCCTCTTATTAAAATGTCAAATCACTTAATAAAACACAACAAATTTCATTTCCAACATCTGAACTTTTGTCAGCAGTTGGAGACTTTATGAAGCAGTCAAGAAAGGTCCATGTATTAATTTTTTTAAACATTATGCTATAAAACCATTTTAACTTTATGTCATATATGTAATTTTGATCTATGTAGTTGTTTGAACCATATGATATAATATGTAAATAAATATATATATGTACAGTAGCAGTTTTTCCAACCAGATACGCATCGTTCGAGGACTAACCGGTTAACTGTTAATCCTTCGCAGCCATAATATCTGAACATTCCCCGCAGCCGTAGGGGTGGGTGGGGTATATTTAGCAGTCATGGTATTTTGAATCTTCTTCTCTTAATTAGAATTCAAATAGGGGATCTTGACCCACTCACCCCCGGTTTAAAAAACAAATTTATAAGAAGGTCGGTATTTCCGAACAAAAAAGTCTAATAAGGGTTCAATATACATTTCACGTACTTAATAATCTCGACCCCCCACCCTCCCCCCAAAAAAGAAATAAAAATGAATAGGGGGTCGATATTTCGCAATCCCAATATCTTCAACCTCCACCTCTTTACTAAAGAGGTCTAGCGCAGGTTCAATATTTTGCAGCCATATTATCTTAAACCCCCCCCCCCCTCCAAGAGCAAATCCTTAAAAAAAACCTTTAGGGGGTTCAACAATTCACAGCCATACTATTTTAAATCCCTGATCTTTTAACTATTAATGTCTTGAAGAAGGATCGAAATATTCTGGCCATAGTATTTTGAATACTGAATTGGATATTATATAGAAATTTCAATATTTTGAACCTAGGTTAAACAAGAGGCCCATGGGCCACATCGCTCACCTGAGTAACTTTGGCCATGCTGTTCTTTACCAGATTTCCACCCTTTTAATATACCTATTGTGGCCCCACCCTACCCCCGGGGGTCATGATTTTAACAATTTAGAATCTACACTACCTCAGGATGCTTCCAAATAAGTTTCAGCTTTATTGGTCAAGTGGTTCTTGAAAAGAAGATTTTTAAAGATTTTTCTTATACATTTCAATGTAAAACTTGGATTCCCTACTGTGGCCCCGCCCTACCCCCGGGGGTCATGATTTGAATAATTTATAATCTACACTACTCCAGGATGCTTCCATATAAGTTTCAGCTTTTCTGGCCCAGTGGTTCTTGAGAAGATGCTTCCATATAAGTTTCAGTTTTTCTGGCCCAGTGGTTCTTGAGAAGAAGATTTGTAAAAATTTTTCTTATGTATTTCAATGTAAAACTTGGATTCCCTATTGTGGCCCCGCCCTACCCCCGGGGTCATGACTTGAACAATTTAGATTCTACACTACCCCAGGATGCTTCCATATAAGTTTCAATATTTCTGGCCCAGTGGTTCTTGAGAAGAAGATTTGTAAAGATTTTTCTTATATATTTCAATGTAAAACTTGGATTCCCTACTGTGGCCCCGTCCTACCCCCGGGGGTCATGATTTGAACAATTTAGATTCTACACTACCCCAGGATGCTTCCATATAAGTTTCAGTATTTCTTGCCCAGTGGTTCTTGAGAAGAAGATTTGTAAAGATTTTTTCTATATATTTCAATGTAAAACTTGGATTCCCTATTGTGGCCCCGCCCTACCCCCGGGGGTCATGATTTGAACAATTTAGATTCTACACTACCCCAGGATGCTGCCATATAAGTTTCAGTATTTCTGGCCCAGTGGTTCTTGAGAAGAAGATTTTTTAAGATTTTTCTTATATATTTCAATGTAAAACTTGGATTCCCTATTGTGGCCCCACCCTACCCCCGGGGGTCATGATTTGAACAATTTATAATCTACACTACCCCAGGATGCTTTCATATAAGTTTCAGCTTTTCTGGCCCAGTGGTTCTTGGGAAGAAGATTTTTTAATGACCCCACCCTATTTTTGTCTTCTCTTGATTATCTCCCCTTGTGAGGGGACTTGGCCCTTCATTTTAACAATTTAAATTCCCCTTCACCCAAGGATGCTTTGTACCAAGTTTGGTCAAAATTGGCCCAGTGGTTCTTGAGAAGAAGTCAAAAATGTGAAAAGTTTACAGACAGACGGACAGACAGACGGACAGACGGACGGACGGACGACGGACAAAATGTGATCAGAAAAGCTCACTTGAGCCTTCGGCTCAGGTGAGCTAAAAATCTTGGTGTTTAATATGTTACATGACACTGGTGTTGTGTCTTAACATCCCCCCTTTTTTCAAATTGTAAATGAATTGACCAACATCTACATGTACCTCCAAGTTTTCTAAAAGAATAAATTTAAACGCATATATTTATTCCTATTTATTATTTTGTTAAAATAATTCAAAGTTGTTAACAACTGGTATGCTGCAGCACATTGCATAATGTTAAACTGGAATACAGACAAAAACTCACAAAATGGATTGCTTCACATATTTTTAACTATCATAAAAACTGGATTGTACAGAGCTGAGAAGAGGCTGGTCTAAAATATGGAATGTACAGGAAACAATAAGACTAACCCAGTATTTAGACATGTCATATTTACTTATTGGATTTGTAGAATAAACAATAAGTCATAGGCACTTGTTCAATAAAAATAATTGTATTCCACATAATGATGTATGCAGTATGCAGAATATATAATTTTTCATCAAACAAACAAATTGAAATGGAGATGAAGTAAGGACAAAAACAACACTTGTAAAGAATATTAAAAATTATTTTTTTAAAAAATGCCCCCTCCTTCATAGTATTTAATACAAATATATAGCACAACCACCTTATAAACTTGTTCCCCTTTCTACACTAACTGTTGTATATATATTTTATATGGAATGCTAGCTGTAAATTGTGTATGAAAATTCTCCACTTGTACAAGTAAGGCACACACAATATTCCTTCTTTCCCATACTAGAATTCTGCTTGATGAGACGTACTCTGAGATTCCACAAATTAGGAATGAATATTAGAATGAAGAAATCCTGTTACAATACACATACTGATGGAAACTAAAGCAGCATTAAACAAGGAGAAATTCTCCCTTTAGTAGTAACAGACAAAATTTCAGAATGTATTGTGTAATCAAATCACAACCTTAAATGAAAATTGTATAAAATGCTAACAACCTTTCAATAGCACATAATGATGTTTAGCTAAATGCACATTTGTCGGACACACAACCAAAAACAAAGTAATTACGAGGATAAGTTGTGACATAGATACAGCACACAAAATTGATCACAAATTGCTAAAAATACCCTAATTTAAATAGTGTTTCACAGAAATAATAAAAATTATGGTATAAACACATGTATATAGTTATTTTGAAAGAAAAATATAGCACATGCAGTCAAGAAAATATATTACAAAAATATACATTTATATACATTTATAATTATTATTCCTGATTGTAGTTGAAATTCTTTGAAGTCTTTGATTAAGTGTACTTTTCGCAGTGTAAATGTTTGCTACATATACAATTCACTGTAGTTGCACGATAAATCAAGAATAAGTGCTTTATATGCTAAAAATTCACTTTACAGGTATATATGTTGAAAGAATTCTTTATATTTGTGTGAATCTAAACAACACTGATCAAATGTGAAGGAAAAATAAGTGAAATTACATCTGTGAATTTAAACCTAATACAGTATTTTATGGCTAATTTCCAATTAATCAAATACAAAATATAGTCTCCATCACACAGTAAATCAAACCATACACATCCAGGTACATACAGGTATACATTTCCAAGCAGAGCTGGATTTCTTGATTTTTAAGTAGCCTAGGTTTTTTTTTTAACCTCTTGATGATTTTCATATAAAATTCTGCATAGAAACTTAGATAATGGACATGAGTTTAATGAGATGGCATTTTTAATACACCCAATCCACAGGCACCCACTGGGTCGCTGCACTTAAATCTGTCAACGCTTTCTTTAGCTCTCGGTAAGTTTCCTCAAAATCATCGTTTACCAGGGTCAAATCAAAGTATTGTTTGTACACACGCTCTATCTGGGCACTTTCTTCCACAGTTCTTAAAAAGTCCTTTTCCTATTGATGGAGGAAAGGTGATATTAATGCATACTCACAGTTCTGTTAGAGTGTATTACATGGATATCTGGATGCACTTGTATTTCTAAATGATTCACTTGGATCCACAATGACATATTGAATTTTTAGCATTTACAAGTGCAAAGGAAGCTCAGACTTTTAAAACGTTTGAGATTCACTGTATTATTTAAGACAATGGCAGTATTTACAAATACTTTAAGAATTATATTTGGGATCACATTCAAATACATTTGAATTTTACTGTTGTGAAGGACTGAAGGTATAACCCCAAACAAACATGATACTTACCGTCCTCATTTCCACCTGTCCCTATACAGGAAAGAAAGATATGATTTACGTCATTACAATGATTATTTGTCATAACAGTAACAAAATTAATGTACAATATGATAATCAGAATCTGGAGGAAAAATTATGAGTTTTTTTCCTACCCCTCTTTTCCCTGCTACACCCCTCCTTCTTCCCTCCTCCCACATCTGTTTCTGGACTTCAGCACTTGGTGCAGCGATAAATACTATAAAAGGCATGTACTCTGCATTCTTGAGGACTTTCAATGACTGGAAAAAATGAATTGTACAACATATCAAACAAACCTGGCTATGCCCTATACCTCAATAAAAACACTAAACTAATATACATATAAGTTACTGGACATAAAAGTACATGTATATCTAAATTACTGGAAATAAAAATCAGTTTTTATGCTGATATGTAGTAAGTTAGTTTCACAAATTGGTGCACCAAATGTGTTAAAACATGATTGATATATTACTGTAGGGCCCCTTCTGTTTCAGAAATGAATGACATTATAAACTTACCGTTGGGTTGACATCAAGGACACACATCTTGCCCTGCTGCACTGTGTAGTGAATGGAGTCAAGTTTAGTCCCATAAAGATTTCCATTGAACTCTCCATACTCCAAGAATTTGCCAGCCTGAATGTCTGCTTCCATGTTTTCTCTTGTATCAAAAAAGTAACCCTTCCCATGCTCTTCTCCTTTCCTGGGTTCCCTTGATGTGTCTGATATAAAATTTAAAAAGATTTATTTTATTTGTCTCATAGATAGACTTCTGCAATTAAATTTCATTAAAAAAACTGTCACTTTTGTCCACTTTTAGAATAATGACTTAAAAAGGTCAGGGTAGAAGAAATCCAATTTAGTGATGAATCACTTTTATTCATAATGTAATTGTTTGGTTTTTCTTCGGTTTTTACACAGGAGAACAGGATGACAAAGAGTTTGTGACAATGATGTCTGTAAGGCACTCCTTTACCATCTAAGGTGAATTACATGGTATAATTAACTATTGAGGCCTCCTTGCACTAATAAATAAAATCACAATTACATTATATCATTCAATAAAAATCTTACGAGGCATGACTGCACCAAATCGTTTGGGATCATCCCGAATCAACCGCTCCTTCATGGACCTCTTGCCTACATGGCTGGCTCCTACAAGGACTAAGGTCTTCCTCTGGAATGGAGGCATCCTTGTCACCTCCTCATAGATTGTAATATTACAATTATCAAAATCTGAAGAAAGGAAAAGGTATAACAATAAGTAAGATATAAAGAAATGATAAAATTGTATCAGAAACAGCTTTATTACATTTTCAACAGTGAAATACTGTGATTTATTTATTGAATAAGTGATATTCTCTCACAGTGTGAAAGGATACCAAAATGATATTCTCTCACAGTATGAAAGGATATCAAAGTAAGTAAAAAATAATTTCTGGCCTGTCATAAGATAGAGATAGCAACTAAACATCTTGATAGAGCTAAAACTGCAACTTTCATCCCAAATATGATGCTAAAATCCATGCCATGTAATGTTTTCAATCTCACAACTGCTAAGCTATGACGTCTTAACCACTCAACTATGACATCAAGCTAGCTATGACACTGTGTTAAGAAAAGACAGAGGCAAAGGGAAAATCAAAGAAAATGTAATAAACAGAAGATTCAATGTTTTGTAGATGAATATGGAATTCATTTCACTCGTGAGACAGGATTTTTTTTTATATTTTCACTCGTGCTTCGCACTTGTGAAAATATCAAAAAATCCTGTCCCACTCATGAAATAAATTTCATATTCATCTACAAAACATTGAATATCCTCTATTTATTTTGATATGGAGATTCTCTGACAAACATTATCTAATCAATGACTTGTTATTTTCAACACATACCTTTATGGTTTCTAGTTGTATATTTAATGGTTCTCTTCTTTCTTTTCTTCAGGCCACAAACTACAAAAGACAGCAGTCATAGGGAATGGAATTTTTTTATGTTATGTGAACATGTACACAAAGTAATGGAGTATTTTGGTACTGAATATTTGGAATCTTACTATTTAACAGTCATTATGCTAAAAGGTTAAATGTAGTTAGATTACATAATTTCATATCATCAACTGGTAAAAACAATCAACAATTTGGTGCTTGAATCAACGAAGAAATAACACATTATACTCTAAACATTGAACCAGTATCAACTGTATCTTCTTTAAATCATGCCCTGTTTAAAGGCTTACATAGACTGCTTTTAGAGTAGTCATAATCAGGCTGTACATAAGCCTGCCGCTTTTCCTCCAGCTGTTGGGCAGGGATTAGTCCTGTGGGTCCATCCCCTTCCTCTGTTACTATCTTAGCCTGCATGTAAGTAAATTACAAAGCATTGAAAATAAGCACTTTTTGATACCCAGCTTATAGACATTACACTCTTTAAACAAGAAAGTTTTTAAAAAATAGAAATTTTTTATCTACCTGCCACCAGTTGGGATCCTCAGTGCTCATGATGTGGAGAATGTCACCATCTTTAAATGGCAGACCAGCATCCTTGCAGGGTATCAGACGGTCTCTTTGAGGATCGTAATTAAAGTGTGCTTTTACGTATTTCTAAAATATAAACATTATTGCACAATATACAATCAGTTAATATCTTCAATACACAAGTAGGATTAGACTTTATTCAGTCTGACTTAAGAAAGAGAAAACTTCTGATAATTAAAGTTTCTTGAGTAAAAAATAATACTCCTTATGCAACAAGTATTGAGCAAAAATAATGAAATTGCACAAAATTTGGAAAAGAGTTTCAAAAGAGAGAAAATCAAAAGTTTCAAAAATTGTGAGGCAGAACTGGAAAAGATGAAGTATTATGTCACAGAAGTTGTGTGCCCAATATGCCATTCACCAAAAAAAAAAAACAAAAAAAAAAACAAACACACTCACAAGCTGATGACAGATTCAAATTTGGAGAGAAAAAAATTAGCTGTTTATTTATACTTGCAACCTACATGAAACTATCAGGAATAGTCCAAGTAAGCAGAAAAAGAACAGGTAAAAAATGTCACTGATATCAGTGTAGCTTTAAAGAATTTCCTACACGCAGATTACTTATATTTTGTAAAGCAATTCTGATGTTCAAGACAAAGCATGTCTCTAATCATACATATTCCAAGATTATTTCTACTAATATATTCAATATGTGAGCACCATTACATTGCATGCAGATTTATTCTTTGTACCAGTTATAGTCTATAACCAAATGCATTGTTTTTGTCTATTTTACATCGGTAAGAAGATACTACTGTTTTATACCTGGGTCTGTGGTTGGTGCTCAGTAAAGTTCTGGACGATTTTGAGTGTGATTCCAGCATCAGTGCTACGTATAATGTCCATCAGTTGCTCTGGTGTAGAAACTGGGATTCCATTTACCTCCTTAATCACATCCCCGACATGCAGGAGACCTTAAATATATATTGTTTAATAAGAAAACTTTCAGAAATCATTTAATATTGTGCTATCTTTACAAAGAGATATTGATTTAATTCACATTTCAACTTCTTTTACTTCTTTTGGTAACTTAAGGACATTGGCAAGTCAGGGTTTTCCGGAGAAAAAAGGTTTAATACATGGGTTTTTTTCCTTATAAAATAGTGATTGAGAGTGATCTCCCGTTTAGAATTCTCTAAGCGGTGAAAACTAATAAAGCGTATGTTACAGAGGTAAACAAAAGCACGTGCACTTCCTTCAACGGGTAGAATCATCTATACAGCAAGAAAGAAAAGTAGTAATGGCTTTGTTGTACATTGTATTCAGGGACAAAGAGCCAACAGGTCGTCATTTACCATTGTTATGCTCAGTATGCTGGATGTCACATATACTGAAAGGTAGGTCGACCATGCCGACTGAGAACAGTTCTTAGGTCGTGTGAAGGAATCAGCATTTAGTAATTACGAATAAAGTTAAAAATAAATCCATGCCAATATTTTTATGACAATGTGTTTCAATCAATTCAGTCAATTACATGATAAAAACAATCAACCAGTCTCTTGACCAATTTTAGATGTTAAGGGACGCAACTCAAAAATGATGATCGGTGCCGGTATATCCATGTCTTGTTTCTATATATACATTTTCAGCCAAAATATTTAGAAGTCATAGGAAATGAAGATACAATAATGTATATAATACAAAAACTGTATGAAATAAATGAGTTTTGAAGAAATATTATGGTGAAAAATTTTGTAGGTCCCTTTTATCAACATTTTACATAGGAAATGCATTAAGAATTGTAAAAACACTAATTTGACAAAATCTAAAAAAGAATGTTGGATTGGTAGGTAAAACGATCCAGAATATAGCATGTTTAGTGCATTTAAACCTACTCAAAAGTTCTAGAAAAATTCTATACAATAACCAGGAACCTTGCCAATGTCCTTAAGTACAGGAGCATGGTATTCACTTCTTAACATAAAGTTAATGCTTTGCACTAACTGTAAAATATTTGAAACATTCAAGGAACTTAAAGTACATCAACATTTATACAGATTTGAAAGTGTTAACCTACTTTTTCAAGAATACTGATACCATAATTGCAGTTTTAGTTTTGAATTGATCTACAATTTCTTTTGCATTGATTGCCAACATCAGTAACCCACCCTGTTTGTCAATCATGCTGCCTGCCAAGATACGAGCAATAACTAGTTCTGCTCTCTCATCTATTTTCACAGTTATACCCTGAAAAAGAAGAACTGAGAATTTAAAAAAAAAACAGTCATTCTACATCTTCCTTTGTAATCACATGCTGGTGCCAGCATACATTCTCATAACAAAAATTTCCTGCTTAACGCTTAATACTGGTATTAAATTTCTCAAAAAAAAGAAGCAAAGAATAGGTACTTCTTTTTAAAGATAAGACAGTGTGTCTTGGAAACATTTCATATTCTTTAAGTAACTTGAAAAGGTTTGGCTTACCAAGGGTGCATTTTTCTCTCTCCTTATTCCTACCAGACGAACCTGGTCAGGCATGTTACTAAACATAGAAAGTGGGGGAGGAGGAGACATCATCTGAAAATCTTCCTCGATCTCATCGCCATAGTTACGGTCAGCCACATCATCATGTGCCCTTAGCAAAGCCTGAATAAAGAAATTAAGAGCTCATATGTATATACTCCATATTCAATGCTTAGAGACATTTAAGTTAATAAGTATTCATAACTAATTGAATTATTTAAAATATACAGTGTATATGACATCATTTTTGTAAGATTACCCCTATGTGAGGATTAGACAAAATGTCTTCAAGTTCTTGAGCCTGCTCATTGTCATCCAATGAGGGCCCAAGAGCATTTACAGCATCAGTTGCCAGTTTTCCTGCACTCTCGTCTGTAACAGGTTCCAGGGGACTGTCGTCCTCTAATTTATCCTTTGCCTAATAAAAGATTTTTTTAACACTGAATGGAAGAATACGAATACCAAATGCTTGTGTTTATCACTTAAGTTTACTGTTACATGTACTTAAAATTCTTATGACTTCAATGTTTTGAACATAATATATATCTGTCTCATGGGACTGTTAAATGATATTTCATGATGTCGAAATGCCTTTATGAGAATGAACTTTATAAAGCATACACTGCAACTCCAACATTTATCAACATTTATCTCTCATGGTAAGTTTATTTCATCTGCTTTACATGTAACACCCCCTTCCCCCTTCCTCCTTTTTTAAGCTGTGAAAAAAAATCTCTCAGGAAAGAGGAATTCTTTTTGTGTCTGGTCATACTTGGTTTTTAAATGTCTTAATGATTCATTAAGTGATAATGTACCATGAATTTTCCTCACCTGTATTAAGCTTTTTACAGCTGGATTGCTTAAGAAATTTTTCAGAAAATCCAAATCATTTTGATCAGCTTCCAAAATATCTCCAATTTCATCAAGATTATTTTTGAGCTTGTGAATAGAGACTGGAAATGGAAAAAAATTATCATGTACAAACTGAAATAAAATAAGATTCATGACAAACACCTGTACAACTATTCAAGATACACACAGATTAATATTTTTTTTAAATGTTTGTTGTCAATAAGACTGGAGGTGGCATATTGCTCAAATAACAATTAATGCAATATCATACAATTAAAAAAGAAATAAAGCAAATAAGAGCATCCAATATGAAAATTGTGCCAGCATTCTTTACTTTTTAAAAATGCATCAAAAACTGCAGTAAATATATTCTAAATACATGTATCAACAATCAATGGATACTAAATTGTTTGCTGCAGCATTATAAACAAATAGACTTAGATGATCTGATCATAAAACAATCCCCTGTTAATAAAGTAGAAAATCAATAATCAGAGACATAATGATTAATAACCATTCACAAGCCACACCTTAATTAGCTTCAGGTTTCCACTATACACATGATTCATGGAGATATCAATCATTCATAAGCAAAAATTTAACCTACCTAGGCCCGACTCACGGGCTTCTCGTGTGGCCGCAGGCATAATTTGTTAGTGAAGATCTCCTGAAAAAGTAAAATTTAAGAAAAATAAACATTATTACACATTTATATCTACTATAGACAAACTGACAGTGACCAGTACATCAGTGATAGAATCTTGAACACTATCAAATTATATATCGAGCTTCAGTACATTATAGAGAGAAAATAAACAATTAATCAATTTTGACAGCACAGATTGAGCGCCAATGTAACGTATGGGATGCAGTTAAGCAAGTTTACATCACAACCACTTCCTGTTTTCGGCCATGTTTTGTTTGGAGGGGATGGATTTGTACACACACGAAGTTTGTTTACCTTCAAACCATACGTTTTGATCAAAAGCATTAACATAAAGCAAAGGATTAGATTAATCTCTCATAGTGCACTTGCTATGAATAAGAGAAGACAAAAATTAAAGCTTTATGACAATTTACGCATTGTAAAATTATTACCTGTAATCAAAAACTTCACCTGTTGCGGTATGCGACACTGATATGCATTCCTGTTTTTCATTGGTTGCTATTTATAGTACATGATTGGTTTATATATCGAGCCCGATTTCTATTTCCACGAACTTTCAGATAATTTCGATACAATTAAAATTCCTTACGCAGTTCCAACTGTAAAGATTAATGCAATGTATTTAAAAAGGATTTTTCTCGTTAATTAAAAAACATTTAATCTTTAAAGGAGAAATTAGAATCTCATCCTTCATCCCCTTCAAAATGTGATGGATGTGATCTATGATTAGGCCTAAAAGATATAATTAAATGTAATTTATATTTCATTTGTTAAAATATAAAAATTTAAAAATATCATGCCCCACCCTTTAGGAAGCACGAATCCCTCTTTAATTGGAAAGGAGAGTCATCATATATCTTTCTTTATTATTTATTTATTATTTCTTTATTTATTTATTACATATCTTTTCTTTATTATTGTAATAATTTCATACTTGTCTGTTATGGGCTCTAAATTAGAAAATAAATGTTCTGTTCTGTTCTATACTTAATTATCATTCAATTGGCGTCATAATTTCATAGATATTATGAACTCTGTCGGAAGATTACGTCGGGCGATGGGCCAAATGTGAAAAAGAAGACCGTGATACTTTGTCAGAGTGGATTGAAAGTATCAGATGGATGTTGAAATCTCGCATTAAACGATTGAGGGGCAATATGAAAACCATTTATCCTTCTGTCTTCAATAATTTAGAAGTAAAAAAAGAAATTAAATAGATTATATATGTACACGATCAATATGTACTGGTTCCAGCTGACAAAGCAGGTAACAACATTGTCTTTGTTTGTAAGGCTCATTATTCAAATAGTTTTTTTAGAGGAACTTGGATTTAATTCTGCAAGTGGTAATCCAACTTATACTTACGATTCCCTTTCTAAGAAACATATTTCCCCAAATCATTTGTCAGTTTTAAACTCTTTTTAATATTCTCAACAATCAAATTGAATTATACATGTATAGCGGGTTCCTATGGAATTCCATATACGACAGCCAACTGGTTACTGCCAACTGCTCACTGCCAACTGCCACTGTTCATAGATAATATTGCCTGTTTTGTTATTTTTAATATCTTTAACACGCATGCTTAATTGAATAAACCCTATGGTGGATTGCAATAATAAAAAAATTTGCGGATTCAGGAACTTTTTAAACGGTGAAGGCAAGGAAGGAATAAATAGGAGGAAAGAGAATTCCTTCTTAAATACAAAACATCTAACTCCCACATTTCCTTGCAGGCAAATAACTCAGTAGATTTTTTGATCTGGGGAGAGGGGGGTAAAAAAGGCTTATATAAGTCAGAAAAAATGGGGGGGGGGCTATTAGTAGAATCTTGGGTTATATTTGTTGGTATATGCATTTATATCAGAAATACTAATAAAAAATCATAAAGGCCTTTTACTCTATGTAAAAACAGTTGATCTCAGGCAAGGAAGCAATTTCAGTGCATGGAGGGGTGGGGGGCACAACCCAACGTAATTCCGTTGACAAGGAATAAAAAAAGTCACAGGCGTCCTTATTGAAGGAGCACTACTGTATAGTATCTGTTGAAAATTTAGTGGGTACCCCCCCCCCCCCACCACCACCACCATTACGAATATATATATATACATGTATCTAACATTAGCCAATAAAATGATTTACATAAGACACGTATAATAATACCGAAATAGAGGTACTTTTCCTAGGGGTAAAAAGAAACACCGAAAGATATTACTAGATATTTTACACCAGGCAAAAGTTATGTTTTTATAATTTTCAATAATATTTCTAGTATAAATACAAATACCAACAAATGTTACTCAAGACCCTACTAAAAATTTTGTTCTTTTGTCGTATGTGACCCCCACCCCCACCCCCCTTGCGTCAAAAAGCTACCGAATCATTTGCCCTGCAAGGAAATACAGAAATTAAATATTTTGTTTTAAGAGGAAATACTTCTTCCTCCGATTTACCCCTTCCTCGCCTTTACAGTTCAAAAATTCCTAAATCTGCCAAATTTTATTATATTGTAAGAATTACACGCTAACTCTCGATTCCCGCCTACATTTTCCATCAATTTAATTCAATATATTTGGCAATTTGGACATTAAAACTTGTTTGAATGCAAAGAAAATTTCATTAGTATTGAGTACTAATTTTAAAAACCAGTGACAAAAAGTTAATTGCTTTTATTTACAACTCCTTTCATAAGAGGGTAGAAAATTTTATCAATTGAAATAAGGCTGAAAACATCATCAGATTTTCAAATACTCATGGAAATGGATAAATGACTCTTAAATCTCACCGTATGTTTAACATGTTCCATATATGTAAAATTCAATACAGGTAACTCTTGATGGCTCGAACTTCGATCTCTCGAAGTTCTTGATCGCTCGAAGTGTTCTTGAGAAGAAGATTTTTGAAGATTTTTCCTATATACACCTATGTTAAATTTTGATCGTCCATTGTGGCCCCATCCTACCCCCGGGGATCATGATTTGAACAAACTTGAATCTACACCACCTGAGGATGCTTCCATATAAATATGACCAATCATAGCTTTGCTGTTCTTGAGAAGAAGACTTTTGAAGATTTTTCCTATATATCCCTATGTAAAACTTTGATCGTCCATTGTAGCCCCACCCTACCCCCGAGGGTCATGATTTGAACAAATTTGAGTCTACACTACCTGACAATAATTCCACATGAGTTTCATCTTTCCTGGCCAATTGGTTGAGAAGAAGATTTTTCAATAATTCCATTAATTTTTTGCTATTTCGTAATTATCCCCCCTTGGAGGGGGGGGGGGGCGTGGCCCTTCATTTGAACAAACTTGAATCCCCTTCACCCAAGGATACTTTGTGCCAAGTTTGATTGAAATTGGCCCAGTAGTCTGGAGAAGAAGATGAAAATGTGAAAAGTTTACGACAACGCCAACGACGACGACAACGACGACAGACAACGGACAAATTTCGATCAGAAAAGCTCACTTGAGTCTGACACATGTTTCATATATGGATATTTTACTAGAAAAAGACGTTAATGGTTACCTAACAACAAAGCTTTATGATAAACGTGATGACTTCAACTTTTCTATCCTCAACTCCCCCCCCCCCCCCCCCACGCTTTTGCGAAAGCGAGGGGATATTAAATCTCATTCATCTGTCAGTCTGTCTAGCTGTCCGTCTGGCTGTCACAAAAACTTTTACTGTGGCCATCACTTTTGAATGAGAGGGGATAAGATTTTCATATTTCACAAGTACATTACCTGTAATAAGACCTTTCCAAATGTACTATGAATGTTGACCCTGTGACCTTGAAGTTTGACCTCTACTTTACAGAATTTTTTAACAAACATTAACCTTGGTCATACTTTTGAATGAGAAATGATAGGACTTTCATATTTCTCTTGTACATTACCTGTGACAAGACCTTTCCAAAAATACTATAATTTTTTACTCCGTGCCCTTAATCTAAGCTTGACCTAGTTTTCAAAAAATTAACATTGCCTATTACCTTTGAATGAGAAAAGATAGAGCTTTTATATTTGACGTCCATTACCTGTGACAAGACTTTTTAAAGATGCTATGATTTTTGACCCCCTGACCTTGACTTCCAAGTTTAGTAGTGGTGATACTTTTGAATGAGAGATGATAAGGTGTTCATGTTTGACAAGTGCATTACCTGTCTTTCAAGACCTTTCCGAATGTGATATGATATTTGATCCCGTGACCTTGAAGTCTGACTTTATCTTCAAAATAATTAACATTGGTGATAACTCTTGAACGAGAGATGATAGAGTGTTCATATTTGACAAGTGCATTACCTGTGTCAAAAAGTTTCCAGGTGTGCTATGATATTCAACCCCTTGACCTTGAAGTTTGACCTAATTTTTCGAACATTTTATCATTGTTGCTAACTTTTGAAGGAGCTAAGACAAGGCATTCATATTTG